GTAAGGGTAGACCACTCTGCTATCTGTGGTTCGTTTCCTTTTCCTCCTTGTGGTGTAAAAGAGTCTGAGAGACATACATTGAAAAGTTCTAGAAATCCCTTAAAAAAAACTTTGCATAAAATATTAGTAACTTAGCTTTCTAGTCCTTTGGCTTAAGTCAAGACTCAGCTGGGGCTTATATTTCTTTCTGTCACCCGAGGTAAAAGCAATGAGAAAAGCAGGAGGTGACCTGGGAGAGAGTGATGTTGAGGGGGAGAGTCAGATGGAAGCAGGGCTGGAGTGTGCTCAGACACAGCCTCACCCTCGTCCAAGAATCTCTGTTCCTTCTGATGCTTGAACTCTCCTGGTAGTGTGATCAACCATTCCTGTTTGTCTGGGACTTGGTGGGGGGGATTCCCAGGATATGGGGCTTTTAGCGCTGAAACCAGGGAAGTCCTGAGCAAATCAGGATGAGCCAGTCACCCTTCTCTCTCTCTCTCTTTCTCTCTCTTTTTACACAAGCTTGTTTTCAGTTTTCTCTCCATCTTTAGAAAAGATCACTGTTTCTTCATTAAGAACCGCATTCAATTGTTGACTTGCATTTAGGGGCCGTTGTATGAAAAACACGTATCTTAGATAACAGACTCATGCTCAGTAAGGTGAGATGCTCATAGTATAAGAGAGTGTCAAGAACAGAATATGTCCTAAGAAATAGCAGATCTTACTGTAGCTCAAGCTTACATGGGGTTATAAATTCATTGAGAGGAACAGCCATAGAACTGCGGGCATTGTTTAAATTATTTATCTTTTTACCATCCCCACTCCTTACTCCACAAGCGTGTATAATTAAATTCACATAATTTAAATCCCTCTACTGAAAGAGGCATCTGGATGTATAAGACTGATCTAGCAGTCAAAGACCTCAGGGAATGCGAAGAGCGGCTTGGAGGTGAGCAGTTGTTAAAAACAAGTGTGACACACGTAAGATAGGAAACTTCCAATCACAGTTTTGGCTGAAGCTCCAAAGCTGAGAACAAAACAGTACATGCCCAGTCACAACCATGCACCAAGGTAGGTACTGAATTGTCCCTTCAGGACATGCTATATGATGGAGGTCAATAAGCTAGGAGAAAAGATATTTGGCGAGAGCCTTGTGGTATGAGTAACCAGTTCTCCTGTGGGCGAAGGGAGCAGGTGTATTTGGGTTGTACACATTCACACTGTAATCTACATGAGAGGGGCTTCCAGGAGCCCACCTGGAAACTTGACTCATGTCCCCTGGAATTGAGGATGCATGTGTGCTGATACTGACACACAGCTGAGAAGACTAAAAGGAAGAACCATGTACTTTCACTGACTGCAAGGAAAGGATGCATGAGTTTTCCTTTGAAGCAAGTGAAACCATTCGGATTGGGGACAGGGGAAAGGGGAACAGACTCAGCCTGGAGCCAACTTAAAAGTCATCTTGCCAAGAGGACTAGCTGGAGGGTCATGGAACCCCAACAGAGAGAGTCTGGAGTATACTGCCAAATGCTCAGGGGATTAGAGTCGGGGTTATTAGTGACCAGCAGAGAAAAAGGCCCCTTCCTTTTAAAAATGTAGACTTCTGAGAAAACTTCAAAACCACTCTGCTAGAGAAAGTTCCAGCTCGAATCAACTGCCAAGCTCAGAGTGTTCCAACGTCAGATCACAATGGCACCAGCCATCATAACCATCACTGTGGGCTTACCCATAATACCCTCTTCCCTTAGTGCAGACCTTGGAAAGGTCAGGGGTGCTGACAGGATGCTGGGATAGAAGGAGGTGAAATTAGGAGGGAGAATAAAAGCTGACACTTACCATTTTCTCCCACTCTGTCCACCACACAAAGCCTTCCAGGTCTAAAGGGTTTTGAACTGGTAGAGGAAAGTCTCTATGTTAGATAAAAGGTGGAAATTTTGATGCTTTCACACTACTGGATATCTTAACTATTCAAAAATAACTTCTTGGGGCAGACAGTGATTGGAGTCATGAAGAAAATGATGGAAAAGTTATAGGACCAGTTCACAATTTCATCCAAAGGGTAGGAAGAAACTAGTTCTTAGATTGGATTTAAAGGGACTGTATATGTGTGTGTGTGTGTGTCTGTGTGTGTGTGAGAGTGACAGAAAGAGAGCGAGCGAGCTCTACCGAGTTCGGCCTGTTTAACAACAGTTGGTGTTTACATTGTGCGTATTATGTGCCTGGCGCTGTTCTGTTTCATGGGATAAATCATTTAATGCTCACAGCAACTCTATGAAACAGGTACTATTATTTTTCTGATTTTGCAGATGAGGAACTTGAGACCCAGAGAGGTTAAGGAATTTGCCCAGGTCACACACCCAGTAAGTAGAGAAGTTGGGGTTAAAACCCAGATGTATAGCTTAGGAGTTCATACTCCTAATCACCGAACACTTTGCTTGTTCTCTGAGAAAATGCTTACAAAAAGATGCTGTGATGCTGTGGGACTCACAGGAAAAGGGTTTGTGAATGAGCAAGTTAGAGCAATGGTCTGGAAGCACCTCTTATGAAGTAGGAGGACGCCAATGGCCAGCACCTTGGAACTCCAACTGGGACTTGAGTGCAAGGTTATTGTGGGGCTGCTGTAGCTTTTCACCCCCAGGGGACTCTCAGGAGACCTGGGATGGGGGGCTGCCACTTCTGGCCAACAGGGAAGACTTACTTAGACATGGGTCCATTGAAGGTCTTTCTTTCTGAATATCATCAATTCTATTTTTTTCCCCCTTTGAATTATTTTGCTTCCACTCTGGCCCCCACTCTCTGGGCTCCTTTCTCTCCTGAGTCATCAGAGGGCTAACGTTCAAAGCCATTATTTCATTATGACTCTCCTTCAACTCCAAGACTGAACCTAAAAGCTTTTCTGATTAAGTAAGTACTAAGTACCATATTTCATGCCTAATGCTCACCTTTGCATACAAGGACTCCAGACATCACAGTTCCAGAATGTGCCCCAAACTATTTGATCTGATTAATTATTCTAATAAAGATGTATTTCCATAATGAATTAGACATAATGGAGAATATATTAATGAAAAATTCTGTAGATACATTATTGCAGAGTTAAAATTTTCCAACCTTGAAAGTCAGTGAATACAAAGTCATAGTTTTCATGAACTCTATTACTCTCTCACACTTTTTATATCACTACAATATAATGAAAATTATTTCATTGCATTCACGCAAAATTTAATGTCAAAATAATGAGGTTGCACTGAGGCTTACTGCAGGAAAACTAAGAAACTTGAATCCTCTTTTCTTTGTCCATTCATTCTGGCCATACACCTAAAGTGCCCTATCCCATCCGGCCAGACAGCTGTGAGAAGAAGGTGTCAGGAAATAGTGAGGAATCAGAGAAAGAAAGGAATATTGGGAAGTCAACTCAAAGTCACCCAGGAGGGGGCTGGGTTCTCCTTCTTTTCTACTCTAATCTCTCATCTTCCAACTTGGAGTTGAGTTCTTAAAAGAGTAAAACTTGGATAGGTTCAATACGAAATTCAAGTCTTTCTAAATTAATTTTTATTTATATCAAACTAACATATGTACAAAGTTAAAATGCAAAGGGTATAAAATCCCACATAACACTCTAAACTGAGTCTAAAATAATTCAGTTGGCTATAATATGGGATGGCAGTATTGTGAAGGTAGTAAAATAATTGGGATGAGTCTAGAACAGAGCATAGGAACAAATCACCAATTCATTCCATTATATTGGAATTCATGTTATTGGGAGGTGTGTCATCAATGGGTTTTCCCACAGTTTAAAAATTCATAAGTACAAGCAGCAATTCCCCCCATGCCCTTTCATACCCCTAGTTCCAGAGTGTAGACCTAATCTTCAACATTTTGAGCTGTTCCTGCTGGTATTGACGTTTACATCCTCAGATAATATTTTGGGGTAAATCAGATCAAATTACTGTGATATCTGAATATTACTCACTGACAGTTAAGTAATATACCATAATTTTGGTTTCTTTTTGCATAACGTCTTTTATGAACTTTTACTTATTCATTTTATTATATATTTATCCTCAATTCTTTCCACATGTGCCATGATATCTGTCATATATAAATTTCATTTTCCAAATGCACAAATATATCAGAATATCATCTCTTTATATGGTAAAGTTCAGAGTCCAGTCAGTTTTAGAGTCTTATTCCATCAAATGATTGAGAAAACTCTACTGCTTGCTGTATATTTTTACTACCTTAGACGGATTACTCTATATTTTTAATTTTTGAAAACAGAATAAATATTAAATTCTAGACTTGAAAGAGACTTCATTCATTCACTTGCTTTTTTTAAACAGGTGTTTTCATCCGGTATTTTCCAACACTTATTCAACTATTTTTGATCTACCAAAATGGCAATTTCATGTGAGCCAAAGAACTGCTGTATGTCTGGCACGCTGCTAAGTGCGTAGTCAGAATACTCTTATCCAGTCTCTCACTTTACAAATGAGAAGGGAAAACAAAGCTGGCTTGTAAAGTCCATCGATAAAGCTGTTATAAGAACAATAAAGAATAATACATTTCTAAGAGCTAAACAAAAATGTGACTGTTAGCCTGTGCATTGGAGGTGTAGCTTTACTTCCTGTGGATTTACAGTTCCTATGCCACTGTTTATTTTCCTGCTCTAAATTTGAATATGTGGCTGAAGTCCTATGTCATAGGTACTTTTAAAAAATTTTAAAAAGCTTCCCTAAAGTGGAAACAAATAAAAACATTATACAGTGGGAGAATCTGAAAACCTGCCTATTTATTTTCATTGTAAGGTGGAAAAATCTTTAGCCTCCTGGGTATATATTCATTATCTTAATTGACTTCTGTCTAGTTAAGTCTTCAGAAGGATAAAAAAAATAGTCTGTGGGTAAAATATATTTGCTGGAAATTACAGGACTGGAACGAAAGCAACATCTGAATTTCACTCCGAAACCAGAAAATCTAATACGGTAGTAATGATTTCATCATGCTGCTTTTTCCAGGCATGATCAATAAAAGAGGGGAAGTCAAGTCCTACTCTGAAAACTGGAGTTCCATAAAGAATAAAGTATAAGAGCTGAAAAAGAAATCAGAGCTACATTAATTCAGGAGCACACGCTGGTAAGAGAAAGTCCAAACAGAGGAGTGTGAAGAGGAATGGAAAGAAACAAAACTGTTCCATTATAAAGGTGTTTAAAGGGCTTATTCTCCCTCAGTGCCCATGCATATAAATTCCATTAGTGTTAATAGGACCTAACTGCATGACTCATGGGGTGAATAGAGTGACTTGTGTATATGTGGTTAAATGAAGTCTAGAAAAAGTCAATTAAAAACCACAGATGATAGTTCAGGAGTCTAACAGACTTACAGCTATCTGCAAGAAAGGCATTTAATTTGAATCAATGGAATAATGCGTTTTTCTTTTGCTAAAGACAGAAGTTATAAAAATGGCAAAGGGAAAATAAGCCCAAATTTAGTTCTCAAAATCATTGCTTAAAGTTAAGGGATGTATTCTTGCTCCCCAGATGGTAAAATAGATCCCTTGTGAAGGATTTATAATTTGCCTTCAAATTGGAATACTGAGTTATGTAAGGAATTCAAACCATTGTCCATTTTTCCTAGCCTTCACAGTCAGAAAGAAGAGAGAGAAAGAGGGGATAGAAAGAGAGAGAGAGAAAGAGAGAGAGACAGAGACTCAGTTACACAGAAACAAAACTCTGGCTTTTGATTATTTCCGAAAGGGAGCATAATCAAACCGGATTTTAAAGAAAATGCGTAATGGTACACAAACTAGTAGATGGAAATCTCTTAATCAAGGGAGAAATTATTTCTGGAAGAAAACTTGCAATTACTTTGCTGTAGTTCAAGTGAACAATAAAGTCCTTTATCCAGAAGAGAGAGAAAACTAAAGGTGTTTTTCTTTCTACTGATATATATATCAATAGAAAAAAAGTCAGGGGTTACAAATAAAGGTTTCCTTTTTGAGTATCTACTACTTCTGTCTTATAAGCCGTATGTTATGTGAAACCAGGCATGCTTTAATCCTTTACTTTAGTCCTCATACTTCTGCTTGTATTAAATAGGTGCTCAAACATTTAAATAAAGAAGAATAAGTGAACACGAAGGGGGGGATTGGAAAAAAAAAAGTCTTACCTGAAGTGTCTTCTTTGAAGTGTCTTATCTTTCCTTTGCTTTTGGAAAAAGTTGAATTTAGCACTGAGAAATGCTTCAGACAAATTGAATACGTAAGAATTGACGTGATCTCTTTTCTAGTAAAAGGAACTACATTTAAGAAGAAGGACGTGAGTGAAGTCTCTTTTGGTTAAGTTTAATAAGAAGCAGATCTTAGAGGGACTTGATATCATGCACTTGCATTAAGCTTTAATCCTTCACTCTATACCTCCAGTAGTATGGTATCGAAGTCATACTTCTTGTTGTAAAGCAGTAAGTCTAATATTGCTATCTCCTTCCCATCCACTTTATTTTTAATCATTTAAAAGCGTTCTTTATATTTTAGGATCGAACACAGCAATAAGTTTGAAATAGAAGGTTTATAAAATTTGCACATTCACAGCACTGGCACCAGATGTACATACATGTCTGTGACTGTTTAATCAACCAGCTCCAAGTTAGGAAAAGTTAAATATGGAAAGTCTAAGAAGATTATGTGGTGTGTAATGTCATTTCTTTACTGATAGTGCATATAAGGTAGTAGTACCAGAAATAGAAGGGTGAATTTAGTTTTAATGTAAATACTAATTAGTACAGTGAAGCTGCTAAGATGGGGCTACTGGGAGTGCAAGGATAGAGGGTGGAATGGGAAGCGGAAAATTGTCTCAGTGGAGTGGGAGGTGGGTGGGTTATGCACCACAAATTAAGAGGGGATTAAGAAGGGCTTTGCAACACCAAGAGTTGGGGAGGAAGCAGAGCACCTGGACCTCCCATACACAGATGGTGGGAGTGTCAGTTGTTGTGACCACATTGAAAATGGTGTAGCAGTATCTTTTTCTTTTTTTTTTTTTGAGGTACGCGGGCCTCTCACTGCTGTGGCTTCTCCCATTGCGGAGCACAGGCTCCGGACGCGCAGGCTCAGCGGCCATGGCTCACGGGCCCAGCCCCTCTGTGGCATGTGGGATCCTCCCGGACCTGGGCACAAACCCGTGTCCCCTGCATCGGCAGGCGGGCTCTCAACCACTGCGCCACCAGGGAAGCCCGCAGCAGTATCTTTTAAAGCTGAACACTTGCAAAGCATAGGAACCAGCCATCTCCTAGATACCTGCGCAACAGAAATGTACAGAAATTCACCTAAAGACTCGGGGAAGTATATAATAGAAACTATACCTGTAATAGCCAAAAAACTGGATCCAACCTAAATATGCATCAGTTGGAAAGTGGGTAAATAAATTGTGTTACATTCAAGCAAGGAAATACATACGGTAACAGGAATAAATATGGGTACCACGTGTAACAATATGAATGAATCTGACAAACATAGCATTGAGCAAAGCAGTCGGCGGAAAGACAAGTCTGTACTGTTTGATTCCATTTATAGAAAGTTAAAAAGAAGCAAGTCAGTCTAAACTATTAGGTTGCAGTTCTCTCCTGGGGAATGGCAGAGGGAATTGCGGCTGTTTCTTAATCGGGGCACAGGCACCCAGCTGTGTTCACTTTGTGAGCATTTATGGAGATGTACACTTATGATTTGTGCAGTTTTCTATTTTTGGATGCATGTTAACCTTCCATAAAAAATTTACCCTTGTCCTCAGGTAAGTATAGGCCCCATGGAAGCTTGGGAACTCAAGCCCTAAGGGAAGAACTTTAGGAAGGAAGGGTGATGGAGAGCTTCAAACAGAAAGAAAATTGGGGAGAGTGCTGTGGTCAGTGCATCCAGTCTGTCATGACTTAGGGGAATAAATTAGCATTTGGATAAAGCCTGAAGTCATCATAAATAATAATATAGACTCACCATTAATATTGAAAAAAGCTGAGGAGATCTAAGCTTGAGTCAGAATAGACACAGATATAGGTTTCAAATGAATAAGACCAGAGGCAGGGACAGGATGAGATGCCAGGGTTCAAAAAGCCGACTGTCGAGGTATGAACAGAGTATCACACAGTAGCTTGGAATGGCCAGCCGAACCCTGAGTGTGCTTAAAGTTCTCTTGCCCATGCTTGAGGCCTAGCCAACGTTTTACAGTTTATGCAGAAGACTGAGAAAGAGAACGACATGACTTACCATTTTATTTATAAATCAGTTATCACATGGTCATACCCTATACTTGCAAATTTCCCCATTTTTCAAACTATGCTCTGACTTCCACATGTAAAGCATGATGTAACAAGTATACCAGCTTTTATCTACTCATTTCATTCTTGGTTTCTTATTGATGCAGGGTTATAGTTAAGACTGGCAAAGTCCCCAAATAACATTCTTACTGGTTTGTGGATCCTAGGTAAAGTGAAGCAATAATAAAAGCTAGCAATTATTGAGTGCTTGTTGTATATGAGGCACTGTCCTCAGCAATTTGCATATATATTGTCTTAATTCTCACAGCTATCCTGAAACTTCAGAGGAAAAGGTGCAGAGTGAGGAGGGGCAGAGCCAGGGCTCAAGGCCAGGTTAGTCTGACTTCAGACTGTATGCGGTTTTATTGTGTCAACTATATTTAACCATCAGACATAAAAATGCTTTGAAATCTCAGTGAATGTACCTGCAAGTCTTCCTTAGCTCAGCTCCTACCAAAAAGAGGTCATCCTCACCACCGCCCCGCACATCCACAGAAAGCACTCAGAAGGGAAGGGAGGCAGTGGGAGATCTTTCTCAGGGAAGCCTGGGCCATCAGGTAATGTTGGCAAAGACATCAGCACAATACAGCTCCTGTACACTCGAATGGAGCCCCTTAGAGTAACCCTCCCTCTCTCTGTGCTGCCAGCCTTCAACTCTCCCCACTCCCACATTCAGTGTCCCTTTGATCATTCTCCAGTGCGAGCTGTATTCTCTTCTTTTCTTTCCCCCGTAGTCTATGACAGATAGAGCCTGATGTTCTTCTCTTTGGGGGAGAACAAAGAGTGGCAGATCTTTAAATACACCACTTCTTCATCTCTGTGGGGACAGGATCAATACAGAGATCATAAACCTACATACCTACAGAAAGGACATTTATTTAAATGACTGAAAGTGGTGGTGGTAAGGCCTTATTGTCTAGATTTTTTATAACGAAAAATAGGGATAAAGTGTGTGTGTGTGTGTGTGTGTGTGTGTGTGTGTGTAGGGGGTGTGGATTTGAAGGCCAAAAATTCACTGATTCCAAGGAGAAGGGCTGAAAGCCGCATTTATAGGCCATTTTTCATTAGATTGAGAAAGTGAAACATGCAGGGTGTGAAGGATGATGGTGGGGGACTGATGGGCAAAGTAGCCAAAGGGAGAAATTAAGCTCTCCCCAGGGAGGCTGTGTCTACTTCGCCCCAGCTGATGGTTGCCAGTTGGCAATGAGAACGGTTGCCAGATCTTCTGAGTTTTCAGAAGATGGAAATCCAGATTTTTTTTTTTAAATGGGAAATCTCCTATTTTTAAAACGCTGTGTGAGCCAAACAAAACACGATTGTGGGCTGAATTCAGTCTGTGGCCTACCATTTTGAGACCTTTGATTTATAGTCTTCCCAAAACACGATATTTCTGTTCCAATTTGTCATCTCAAGGCTTGTTCCTTTCAGACTCAGTTCATTTTCCGTACTCTGCCCTCCTCCTTCATTCCTTTATTATTTACACACATGTCTGACGCCCCCTCAAGACGATATTCTGTTGATAGCACGACTTGCATCTTTTTCAGTTTTGTATCTTCTCCATGGTTTTCTATAGTGCTTTAAATAGTGCAACACTCAGTGCTGGTTTAACAAGTGTTTGTTAAAGAATGCATTCTCAAAGCTAGTCCAGGGAAACTTGAAGCTGTACACGGGGTCCCTTTGCTGAAACACGATTTGCCTAAAAAACAAGTATCTGAAAGCCATTTTGGGATTTCCACTGTCAGTGATAGTCGACTGTAATTCAGCCCAAGTTTCTTGTAAAATCAACTAAAACATGTGGACAAAATATAGAAAACATCTTATTAAGAACATCAAAG